AAACATTGTACACGAGAATAGTGACGCATTTTGCGTTGGTTACTCATGAAATATAGGTCAAAGTGAGAGATTCATAAAGAAAATCGAAACAATCCAATTTTAATTATTTTGTAGAATATCTGAGGAAACATCTAAAACATAAAAAAAAATTCCGTTTTTTTAACTTTGACGAAATTCCGTGTTGAATCCTTATATACACGAAAATAGGTTACACTACTGTAATATATGTTTGTACGTCTTTAACTACTAAACATAGTGTTACTATTACTTAAAAATAAGGTAAATGAACTTGAATTTTGGGAATAGAAAAAGGATAGAAATAATGTGAATGGGAATAAAAATTGCTGTAGAAAAAGGTTGTTATAATTATAAGATAGTATGCTCAACATGATTTAGTTAAATTTTGAGGACTTTTACACCAGAGCCGTAGAGAACTGTATCCGTTTTAATAGCTTTTAGATTTAATGCACGTTTAGTTATGTTTGATTATCTTAATTTTGTCTTAAATTGATCAAATACTTTTAGAATGTTGTATATAAGATTTTGATTCAGTTTTTAAATTGTGTATAATGTTTATAATTTATTCATTAATGTTTATAATTTATTCATTATAATTATGTTATATAATGTTCATTATGTGTTAAGTCTTCTCAGACTTGAAAACATTTTTTATGTTTCTGTTTATTGATATATTGTGATACAACTAATACAATGAAAAAAATAATCAACATTTCACCAACACAGTGGCGGATTTTGGACTTGTTGAGCCGTAGGCAAACGAATGGTAGAGGGCCTAATCTCTCGTTTTAGGGAGTGGGCATGGTGTGATTCCAATTTTATGGCAGGAAGTTTGCTATCTTTTTTTTCAGGAACAGATAAATCAGCTCATTAGCATCAATCATATGCACGATATCAGCATTCATCACCATTGGGCTCGAACAATTTAGTCGATTCTCACACATTACGCTCCTAGTAGGACAATTTTCGATGGGCCTGAGGAAATTTATCAACTGTTTGATAATTTTTACTGTTACAAAATTTGTCACGGGCCTAAAGGTAGCTGCTTAGTTTGCCTGTAGGTAATCCGCCTTTGCTCCAACATTCTTTTAGTTTCAACACCAGACTGGCCATGAAACTTGCGGTCATGTGATTGAAAAAATTCCAAATTGTGGGTTAAATGTTGTTGAATAGTTGTCAAATTGAAAATAGAAAAATGTTGGAGAAATGTTGATAACATCTTAAAGATAAATGAGACATGCTTGTTTTTTTTTAATGACATCCGTTCGTTTCGCATCATGCTTATACGCCGACCACAAACTCTACATTCTGTGACTTTTACACGCCAACATAAAATCATATACATTTATGTAGTTTGAGAAAAGTTGTATGTTTCCATTATGGCCAAAAATAAGCCAAGTTAGATCCAAGACTAATTGTATGTTTATCGTTTACGATTTCCTCTCGTGATTTAGTCCATTGAATATTAGTATAACATAGTTGAATTTTTAGTCATAAGTAACTTGTTACTCTTCAATTACTAATAAACTAACTTGTATTTCGATATATATTTAAATAAATCATTTCTTCTATATTTGTTTCTTTTCATTTCTAACTTAAGCTTTCTGTTATTTTTGTTTGTGACAAAAGAATGTAGGCGATTTATCTCCCTTCAGTCAGCACTGATAGTAATGGCAAACGACGAGGAATATAGCAGCGTTGTCCATTTCCACCGGTATGCACGATCTTGAAGCGTTAGAATTACATGTATTGTGCTCCTAATTTCTCCTTTGACCTGAATCTCAATCTTGGGTACACAAAAAAGTAAAGTGTTATATGACAACTATAGAGTCATTGGAGTAAACACTGATTGGAAGAGATTTTAGGTAACATTCTAGTGGAAAACTTTAAATGAATTTAAAGGTTCTTCATATGGCTTTTCAGTCCGAAAGGGAACAAGTACCATTGAGGAAAGTTAACAATGTCATTTTTCTGGTGGACCCAAGTTTAATCAAATTGTGGGGTTTTTTTTCGTTCGTCTGACCACTTTTATGTGGTATTGTACATTTTAATTATTCTCACTGAAGCTATATCAACATTCTATTGACTGATATGTTTATATTCAATGAATCCTGTCACATCAAAAGACTATGAGATTAACCGACATCAGTTTAAGGCTTGTTAGAACCAATAAGATTATATATATTAATCGGATTTCCTTGATTTGTGTTGTCTGAGAAGGTTGGTGATGTTGACGATATAAAATAAAAGTAGACAAATCTCGTCCACTCAATCGTTCTGCTGTCAAGCAAAATGGTGGTTGTCTTTCATCCATAAGTTGTATAATCTGTATAATGATGTATGACTGAACGATTTGTTTCAGATCGATTTCTTGTGTTTATCTCCAATCAATCTGTATCAAATAATTTAACTAAATGCTTCTCTTAACACAATGTGAGATATTGTAATTTTTATCACAGAACCCTATCTCCATGATTGGAACCTTCAATGATCCCGCTTTGTCAAGTGGATGTGTATTTTCATCTGTTTTATGGACATACACTAGTTGATGTAAAAATGAAGTATCAAAATTTGTTACTGAGGGATTCAAAATTTGCTGCTGAGGGTTTTAAATCTTCTGAAGAAACCTACAAAACTCTGTATGGATTGGCACACAAACTAAACGAACACCATTTCTCATGGACTATTATGTGAAATCGGTAAGAATGATTTATGATTCCTGTATAAGACATTTTTAACAGCAAAAACATCAGTCGTGGGTGTCATGATCGGATGATGATTAGTAAAGTTGTAACAGTTTGTTTACAATTTGGAAGTATGATATTTAGTGTATTACACTTTGCAGATATATAATCTGTTAAGATTTGCTGAAACCACAAATGGGTTAAACTATAAGGAAGTCATTATCTTCAGAAATCGGACAGAAAATTGGAATTCAGACGTAAGCTATAATAAGTATTGTCTACTGCACATTCAAAGATAGCTTGCCAGGCAAGGTAATATACTTCCACTTGCAGCTTTGATTTTAAATAAAAATAATTGGCAATTACAATTACCAGTATGAAATATTCAACCTTCAGTCTTACACTTCTTTTGAACTTTTTGAGACGATACTGAATATATTACCAAGTTTCGTCAAAATCTGTCGAGAATTGAGCCTCGTTTACAGGCTAAAACTTGAACGCGTTTTTACGAACAAGTGCATTACTAAATATTTTTCAATTCTTTTGATTTTCGATAGGGTTCATCCTTGGTTGATAACAAACACTCACCCCAAGTCAAAATCCATCAAGAATTGTGCCTTCTAGAGTGTTTGCGGGCTAAA